AGTTAAATTTCAACAATTGTTTGCCTTCAAAAATGCTCTCGCTTGCGTTCATTTTACATACGCCTCCATAGTACACTGCACACGTATTGTTCTAGACGCATTGTCTGGTTCGCTTGATACAATGTCATACACATCACATTTATGATCAACATCGCGGCTTCTTGCAACAATATCTTGCAAATATGCTATGCCTGCTGTATAACGCTAGTTGTGGTAAGGGTGCCTGAGCCCGCTCAGATCGCGCGCACTCGCTCAGATGCGCTGCCATATAAAAGTTGATAAACTCAACAACACTATCCCAATTTGACGATTTTTTTTTTACTATCCCGGCGGGATATCAAGCATTGAAATCTGGTATCCAACACAAGAATCTACTATCCGCTGATATCGGGATACCGCTAATTTCGACCCCTGTAGGTTCACCATAATTGTAGAGTGAAGGTTAGGCCTTTAAACCTTGTGTTCCCCGCTCGCACACGCTACCTATGCAGTCCCGATGTTTGGGTTCACTGTAACCGTAGATGAAGGTTTGGCTTTTAACTCTTGCGTTCCCCGCTCGCACGCACTACTGTATACGTTGTATATTTTGCAGTGGTTTTAATTTTTCGCGAATTTCGCGAACGCGGTCCCCGACCACGAAAATAACAACAACCGAATAATTTGTACCGAATAATACCGAATACTGGAATAATTCCTAATTCACCGACCGCAAAATTCACCACTCGCGAAATTGTCCGTCCATTAAAATAGTCGAAAATATCTGTGTGCGAAAAATATGGCTTATACAGTATCCTACCCGCGACGCGGCGCAGCCTGTTTGTGACTGCGTCTCTGCCCTTTGTTGTTGCGCCACAGAAGCGGGACGTACCGGACTAACCTGCTGTGGAAGATCAGCTTCGAGCTGATGAGGAACCCTGTGATCGCGCCAGCGGCATCACGTACGACCGGAAAGACATAGAGGAGCATCTACAGGTATGTTGCACGTCGCAGGTCGAAAGATTTACGACGGGGACATTGTGGAATGTGTGTGTGCGTGCGTGCATGCGATCGGTTGTGTGTGTATGTGTGTGTGTGTGCGTGTGTTGTCAGTGTTGTAGTCGATTCCGCACCGCACTGAGTCCGAGTCCGAGTCCGCGCCACCCAGTCCGAGTCCGATTCACACACCCGATCCGAGTCCGAGTCCACACCACCCGAGTCCGCGAGTACCGAGTCCAGTTTTGATTTTAAGGGAAAAAATCGGAAAAAGGGAAAAAATCGGATTGTAAACTGCGTGTTACAATATGAACAGTTGTGTACTATGTATGTAGTGGCCTCGAGCCGGCCTCGACCCGAGTCCTCGAGTCCGAGTCATTGCACTCCGAGGCCAAGACCGAGACCGAGACCAAGGAAAACGGTCTCGAGGCCGGCCTCGAGACCTACAACACTGGTGTGTGTGTGTGTGTATGTGTGTGTGCGTGCGTGTGGGCGCGTGCATGTATAATATATAATAATAAATTAATATAATAATATATATATATATTATTGCGTTGGGAAGCTAGTAAGGATTCCGCCTGACCACATGCGGGTTGACGTTAATAGGGTATTGTTGCTTTTGCTAGGTCGGCGAATATCGTGTATAATTAATAACCAATTATAATTAATAATCCAACAGCTGATAATACATTTTTTATTAGCTCTTGTAATTATATATATTGTGTGTAATATATTTATATACATATATATATATATATAATATATAATATATATAAATATATATATATATAATTATTTATAATTTTAATAATTTTAGAGGATATAATTCCCCATTTCGTAACCTCGCAACAAAAATCCTACATCAACCTACTGTGAGCACGAAATGTTCTTACTGAGCCAGAAATGTGCTCCGAACTAGAGGATTTTGATACAGATCGCGACAGTGTTATATTCAGCGCATAAATTATGTTGAGCGAATGGGTATGCTAGAGCAAATAGTTCCTGGAAAGAAAACACTATATTTGTATCCTGTTTGCATAAGTAATTGTGGATAACATGTGATTTAAAACAAATTTCACAATTCTGTACTGAACAAACATATAATAATGAATTTATAACTTGTTTTATCATAGAAAAAGAACTGTTAACGATTGCTCGCTGTCGTGTCCCGGACGTGTAAACATCACTGTGGCGTTACTTTTGCAAGACAAGAGTGTGTTTAGATTTTGTGAGGAAATGTTATGAAAGTAGCAATACAAATGAGGTTGTAGTGAATTTTTCAAACATATGCAAGCTCACAAGTAGCGTATATATATCATTTAGACGGCGAAGGGTTTTGCAACTTTAACCCCCGGCGCCACGACATTTCAGCGGGTCGGCCACTTTTGACCCCGTGACGCGGGCCGACCTCACGCGCAGCAGCAGTCATTCCGACCTCGCCATGAAGGAAGTGCTCCGATATCTTCATCGCCGAGAACGGCTGGGTGGAGGACTACTGACCCCCCAACGACTCGGACCCCCGCGACCTCTGACCTCCGACCCCTGCATCGCCGGGAAGCAGAGCGTGGTCGCGCCGAGAGGTCGCCAGCGTCTGCCTTCGCCGGGGAAGCAGAGCGTGGTCGCGCCGAGAGGTCGCCAGCGTCTGCTTCGCCGGGGAAGCACGAGCGTGGTCGCGCCCGAGAGGTCGCCAGCGTTCTGCTTCGCCGGGGAAGCAGAGGCTGGTGCGCCGAGAGGTCGCCAGCGTCTGCTTCGCCGGGGGAAGCAAGAGCGTAGGTCGCGCCGAGAGGTCGGCCAGCGTCTCTGCTTCGCCGGCACGATTACGAGGGCAGCACGTTCGCCACGGTAACGCCGGCAGGTCGCCGCCAATTCCCTCCCCCACGGTATTGTTGACGCGTCGCGCGCGTAGGGTGTATGGGCCTGGAAATTCGCAGACGTTGCGGGCAGTTTGCAATCTGTGAATACCCCTGGGGCTTAGTGAAATACGGCGAATTCTGGGGGGGCCGTGGTTAGAAATGAAATTAGCCTTGACGTTTGTCTTAACGTTAGCCTTTTTTCCGTGGTCCGGACCTCTGTACCGCATGCTTACGGGAAGCTCGAGACTCGTTTACCACGTTTCTGTCAACAATGCTGGTGAGAAAAAAGATAATGTAAGACTAATGCTAAAACTAGTTCTGTTATTGACACGGAGCCTCAGATTATTAGTTTTGCGATAGCAGCATTCTGATTACGCGTCGGGACGGCTTAATTGGACTTGGTGGTTGCCAAGTAAGTTTTCGTGCACACAGAGGCTTCTACAGAGGCTGATCTATGTACGGGTTGAACCACGTTTGTTTTCTTTCAAATGTCTTACGTTCTGAAAAACGAACAGGGTTTGACACCTGCCGCATTCCATGAATGTGTTCTCAATAGTGACTGTAGCAATTTTACGAGTTGAAACGTTTGTTTTAACCGGTCGATTATCGGACATTAAAAACAGTTGCGTTCCGTAGCCTGTCTTTTCGATTAGATGGGAGCTCCATATCATATTATTGTGAACAAAATTGAAATTAATCTAGAAATTAATTTGGAAGTATTTTAACCGGCAATCGATACAATACATCAAAAACGCGTTAGCTATAGTCCACGAGTCACAGCAAATACACGTAATATAAAATTTTAGAGCTTTTTCTAAAGTACATTCATACATAGTTTATTATTGTGTACATATTACAATATATATATAATTAGCTAAAGTACTAGATTTAGCAAATTTCTTTAAATTATTCTAAAACGATTTTCTCTAAATAATTTACTGCTCTAAGTTGGTAATGTATCTATGTAATATTTATTAGAAATTGATTTTTTGTGTGAGTTTATAAGTCAAGGTTCATATAAGATTTATAGCACCTGCACATACATGAACTCATGTTTATGGAATGAATATAAAGCATGACATAACTCTCTACAGTCCTGTACAACTCAAATTTGTTTTGTAACTCTCATTGTGCTAGTTTTAAATCACAATGACTTAACTTCAAGGGATGTTTTGAAATGTAACAACACAAAGGACAATATCATTCATAACAATAAGCAAATTATAGTACAACGTAGCACAGGTTATACTAAGGTTCCATTCACAATTTTTAATTCGTGCAGGCAAAAAATAAGGCTAGTTAGATTTAGCCCGTCTGCTGCATAGTAAAACAGTTGCCATATTGCTTTCATAAGCGCTGCATGATTCAGTCGTAATATATATTTTGCTAGGGTCACCGTAGTCAGGCTGAGAAGGTGGAGACCGAGACACTAGTTTGTTGTGTTGAGCGTCGCGTGCCACCAGCGGTCCGGAAAGTAAATCAGCTGCCATACATAAACAAATATACGTTGTCATTTAAGCAAGAGAACGTTGCTACGGTAAGCAGTTAATACCTTTTTCACATCGAGCAAATCGTATGAAAATAACGTCTACGATGGACATTCAATCGCTTGCAACTTGAAGTACGTGTCGTGTATAAGTCGCACATGAGTTTCTTTCGAAGTATAACACATAAGTCACAATTATATCTGACATACATTTGACATGGTGACATACACTTGTCAAACACGTAAGAGATGAGAGCGAGGCATGCACATTTAGTGAGGGGATGGCAACTGCAATGGCTCGTCACCGACCGCGAAATTATTAACCACGTCGCGAAATTGTCCGTCAGTCTGAATTCGCGAATAATATCTGTACGCAAAAAATATGGCGCCACAGTAATTATTAATTACTTATTTAAAATTCTCGGAAATTCCCGGCCCGGCGTGACACCCCCCCCCCCCGTTCCCCGTCATCGTACCTCTCCCGGACGAAGCGTGCACCTCGAGTGGTTTGCTGTCTTCGCTGAGTTTGGCGTACTCCTCCTCAAAGCCAGGAGCGCGTGCTTTGTCCGGGTCCCACGCCGGCACGTGATCGGGCGGAATACAGGAACCAGCGCTGCTGGAGATTCGATAATGACGATTCGATCGGCACGCGCGAGCGTTCAAAACGCCTTCCCGCAAACACAATATGTTCCAAAATAGTTGGAGAAATTACTGAGCTATCATCTACGATCATCTTTATCCCGACGGTTACTTTTTTATGCGTTATATTTCGTTATCTTTATTTTTTTATTATTTGTTTTTTATTTAGGCTTCTTTGATTTTGTTGATAAACAAAAAAGGGGGTCGGAGGTGAGAAAGTAATGATTTAATTCCAAATGATCTTTCACTGCCATTCAAATCGTATAAAAAGCGTAAACTTTTTGCAAAACCGTAAGAGCGCCACCTTTCTTCCGAAGATCACCTCTGCAAAACCCAGGGCCGTGAAAATGGAATGGAACTCCAGTACCACTCGCTGTAATGGAAAGAAAGCACTCGACTAATTACACTAGTCCCACACATACCACACAGACACGCCAAATACACCCGTCATATTGCTGAAATGATCGTACAGAAATCTAGTGATGTCCCGATGATCGATTATAAATCGAAAGTCAGTCGTTTGCAGCAATTAACCGACTAAGCCCTCGATTATGAAAATTAAATAAATCGATTATCAAAAAAAATTAAAATCGCAAAATACAATACGTAGTCTAGTTTAATTAATTCACACTGGATTAGACTAGACCATAGTTTTGCAACATTACAGGTAGAAACTGTTTGCATCGCAGGGCGCAAACGGGATGAAACTGGAGCCTGTTGCAGAAACAAAATTAGTCATCATAGACCGTCGACAGCACTTTGTGTCGTATTGTTATGAGGAAATCTGCTTACGATTTTTCATTCAGGTAACTTCGCAGCGTTTCTGTCGACGGCCAAGAGAAAAAGTTAATACTAAGACTAATTGTAAGACTAATTTTGTTTCTGACAACGGGCCCTGTGGGTTTTACCTGCCAGTCCGAAGCTATCCTGGCTCGTGTCCGGGTAGATGAAACCCGGAAGTTGATAGAGGGAGAACAAACCTTCCACTCCGCGTGTGGTTGTTATCTCCAAACCAGTACCACGTTTCTGCTCGTGAAACAACGAAATTGGCATCACTGTGGGCTATTAAATGCTATCATCGTGTACATATTAATACCATTTACTACCAGGCTGCGTATACACGATGCTAAAAAATAGACTAATAGTTCTTGGAATTTCTAAGGTAACATCGAAGCGAGCATCCGATGATTACCTTGATAACATACAACAGGTACAATGTGTTGGTAGCCATCAGTTTGGCTGCACTCTTAAGTGTCCGTTGCAATTACGAATGCTATGTACGTCAATCGCTCATAGATATACTCACCATTACAAGTGTGTCCGCAAGGCTGGACATTCAAAAAGGTGATTTATATAGTGTTCTAATGTAGTATCAACTGAAAAAGACATCTCATCAACATAAAAAAATGACACTTTAAAACGACATTTAACATCCTCATAAGTAATGCATGTATAAATATATAATTATAGCTAAAATAGATTTTCAAACTGTAAAGTGGTGTCTCCATTAAATAAGTTCATGTAAAATTAAGTGTGTGTTTCGACATTTTTGGGATCTATGAGAAACTGTGTAAGAAATCTCCGCTTAATTTTTTCTTTAAAGTTTCGTACCTTTTATAAAGAATAGGTGTTAGCCGAACTCAACGATAATTTTTTCTCCTCAATAATTTTTCAAGAGATTATTGACGCTTGCATCCATCTCTGAACAACTGCAAAATGTCGGCAGGATGCGATGAAATTTCTGCTACATCAAATTTGTAAAAAAATAATTCACAGGACTTGGACAAAAGCAACATACACATGTGACATGCTCCTGATACGACATGACTAAAAAGAACTCCGTTACTAAACTTCTCTTAGGAAACGGAGTAGGGGAGGGATATATCCATAGTGAACCAGGTGTAGAAATTAACTTTTGAACACCAGGATTCCAATGGACTCCTGCCTCAAAGAGGGAGTCCGTAGCAAATGAGGCAGTCTGCAGTCTGAGGTTCAAAATTAAAGATCATTAACAATAACGCATGTGCTTTATTTTAAGGTTCATGTGGTTGCCCACGTTTGCCAAAATTTCTTTTGGACATTAGCTGAAAATACGGTAATCCGCGAGGCCGTGCTATATGAAACGAACTTAGTTAGTATGCAGAATTTTCAGGAAGTCACGTACGGACTCCTGCATATGTCAAATCAGGGAGTCTGACAGTAAATCTGGGAGTATTTGACTCCAGACTCACGTTAAGTTTGCACCCTGTGAACCCAGGCCGTAGCCAGCTAATATTGTGCAGGGTTCGTTTTAAATGTTGGCAATTGGATGGGCTGCGAAGCGACCGAGCGCAGGAGCATGCACCCAGTCGGGGGGGTCCCCGTTAGGAAGGTTTAAAGGCTTAACCTTCACTCTACAATTATGGTGAACCTAACACTCGACTTCATAATCTGGTACAGTGCGTGTCCCTCAGTTGCACGAAGTGTTACGTCGCAATGTATGTAGTACGATGCGTTACTCAGTGGGCACGGTACGAACGGTGCGTAATGTTCAGAGCGGTTTCTGCAGCCGGTGACTAAATCTAATGGTTGTTTATCTGGTCGCATCTCACTTCACTCACCCTTCTTCTGTCATCGATCTGTGTGAAGAGGTTATTCACTTCTTGAATGCGATTGTCCTGCAAAAGTTTGATAAGATTCAAGGAAACATTGAATGGAAACGTTAACAGTGGAGTTTCCCCTGTTTATCTGTTTTGTACACTTCAACACTTTATTTATTCGCTTTTGTTTTGAGCAATCTTATTCAATTCTGCTCTCATGCTCTATTAGGTATCCAGGTGGCACGCGCACACACACACACGCACGCACGCACACATACACACGCACGCACGCACACATACACACACACACCCAATATATATACTGTATATATAAATATATAATATATATATTGTGTATAAATGCATCTAATGTATATACACATATATATAAACAACTCATTAATTTATAACTCATTTATTATTAACCCATTACTCTAACCCTAACCCTAACCCTTACCACTCTAGGATATTGGTAGTACTCCGCCTACTAAGCTTCGTCATTCTACAATGTCTAAATTAACACACGGTTCACCCACCAGACATATCTCCGCTTGCTCGACCCTCTCCTCAGATAAATCCTTTGGGAGCTGCATCCTTGCTTCTTCAATTTGTCTGGAAGCAGATTGATGCACAACAATGAAAAAACCCTTCAGTCTGTTATGCGCAGTCGCACTGCACTCGGTTGCTATGCTCCCTCGCTCGGTCGCTTCGCGCCCTCACAAATTGCCAACATTTAAAAACGAACCCCCACCAATATATAGCTGGCTACGGGCCTGGGTTCACCAGGGTGCAAACTTAACGTGAGTCTGGAGTCAAATACTCCCCGATTTACTGTCAGACTCCCTGATTTGACATATGCAGGAGTCCGTACGTGACTTCCTGAAAATTCTGCCATACTAACTAGTTCGTTTCATATAGCACGGCCTCGCGGAATTACCGTATTTTTCAGCTAATGTCCAAAGATAATTTGGCAAACGTGCAACCACATGAACCTTAAAAATAAGCACATGCGTTATTGTTAATATCTTTAATTTTGAACCTCAGACTGCAGACTCCCTCATTTTGCTACGGACTCCCTCTTTTTGAGGGCAGGGAGTCCATTGGAATCCTGTGTTCAAAAGTTAATTTCTACACCTGGTTCACTATGGATATATCCCTCCCCCTACTCGTTTCCTAAGAGAAGTTAGTAACAGGGTTCTTTTTAGTCATGTCGTATCAGGAGCATGTCAACATGTGTATGTTGCTTTTGTCCAAGTCCTGTGAATTATTTTTTTTACAAATTTGATGTAGCAGAAATTTCATCGCATCCTGCCGACATTTTGCAGTTGTTCAGAGATGGATGCAAGCGTCATAATCTCTTGAAAAATTATGGGAGCAAAATTATTCGGTTGAGTTCGGCTAACACCTATTCTTATAAAAAAGGTACGAAACTTTAAAGAAAAATTAAGCTGGAGATTTCTTTACACAGTTTCTCTTATAGATCCCAAAAATGTCGAAACACACACTTAATTTTACATGAACTTATTTAATGAGACACACTTTACAGTTTTAAATCTATTTTTACTATAATATATATTTATACATGCATTACTTATGAGGATGATTAAGGTCGTTTTAAAGTGTCATTTTTTATGTTGATGAGATGTCTTTTTTCAGTTGATACTACATTAGAACACTATATAAATCACCTTTTGAATGTTCAGCCTTCGGACACACTTGGTAATGGTGAGTATATCTATGAGCGATTGACGTACATAGCATTCGTAATTGCCAACTGGACACTTAAGAGTGCAGCCAAACTGATGGCTACCAACACATTGTACCTGTTGTATGTTATCAAGGTATCATCGATCCGCTTTCGATGTTACCTTAGAAACTTCCAAGAACTATTAGTCTATTTTTAGCATCGTGTATACGCAGCCTGGTAGTAAATGGTATTAATATGTACACGATGATAGCATTTATAGCCACAGTGATGCCATTTCGTTGTTTCACGAGCAGAAACGTGGTACTGGTTTGGAGATAACAACCACACGGAGTGGGAAGGTTTGTTCTCCCTCTATCAACTTCCGGCGTTTCATCTACCCGGACACGAGCCAGCGATGAGCTTCGGACTGGCAGGTAAAACCCACAGGGGCCCGTTGTCAGAAACAAAATTAGTCTTAACATTAGTCTTAGTATTAACTTTTTCTCTTGGGCCGTCGACAGAAACGCTGCGAAGTTACCTGAATGAAAAATCGTAGCAGATTTCCTCATAACAATACGAAACAAAGTGCTGTCGACGGTCTATGATGACTAATTTTGTTTCTGGCAACAGGCTCCAGGTTTCATCCCGTTTGCGCCCTGCGATGCAACAGTTTCTACCTGTAATGTTGCAAAACTATGGTCTAGTCTAATCCAGTGTGAATTAATTAAACTAGACTACGTATTGTATTTTGCGATTTTTAATTTTTTTTGATAATCGATTATTTATTTTCATAATCGAGCGCTTAGTCGGTTAATTGCTGCAAACGACTGACTTTCGATTATAATCGATCATCGGGACATCACTAGATTTCTGTACGATCATTTCACAATATGACGGGTGTATTTGGCGTGTCTGTGTGGTATGGTGTGGACTAGTGTATTAGTCGAGTGCTTTCTTTTCCATTACAGCGAGTGGTACTGGAGTTCCATTCCATTTTCACGGCCCTGGTTTTGCAGAGGTGATCTTCGGAAGAAAGGTGGCGCTCTTACGGTTTTGCAAAAAGTTTACGCTTTTTATACGATTTGAATGGCAGTGAAAGATCATTTGGAATTAAATCATCTTCTCCCTCCTCACCCCTTTTTTGTTTATCAACAAAATCAAAGAAGCCTAAATAAAAACAAAATAAAAAAATAAAGATAACGAAATATAACGCATAAAAAAGTTACCGTCGGGTAAAGATGATCGTAGATGATAGCTCAGTAATTTCTCCACTATTTTTGGAACATAATTGTTTGCGGGAAGGCGTTTTGAACGCTCGCGCGTCCGATCGAATCGTCATTATCGAATCTTCTGCAGCGCTGGTTCCTGTATCCGCCCGATCACGTGCCGGCGTGGGACCCGGACAAAAGCACGCGCTCCTGGCTTGAGGAGGAGTACCCAAACCTCAGCGAAGACAGCAAACCACTCGAGTGCACGCTTCGTCCGGGAGAGGTACGATGACGGGGGAACGGGGGGGGGGGTGTCACGCCGGCGAATTTCCGAGAATTTTAAATAAGTAATTAATAATTACTGTATGCGCCATATTTTTCGCGTACAGATATTTTCGCGAATTCAGACTTGACGGACAATTTCGCGAGTGGTTATAATTTCGCGGTCGGTGACGAGCCATTGCAGTTGCCATCCCCTCACTAAATGTGCATGCCTCGCTCTCTCTCTTACGTGTGTGACATGTATGTCACCATGTCAAATGTATGTCAGATATAACTGTGACTTATGTGTATACTTCGAAAGAAACTCATGTGCGACTTATACACGACACGTACTTCAAGTTGCAAGCGATTGAATGTCCATCGTAGACGTTATTTCATACGATTTCTCGATGTGAAAAAGGTATTAACTGCTTACCGTAGCACGTTCTCTTGCCTAAATGACAACGTATATTTGTTTATGTATTGCAGCTGATTTACTTTCCGGACCGCTGGTGGCACGCGACGCTCAACACACAAACTAGTGTCTTCGTCTCCACCTTTCTCAGTCCCTGACTACGGGTGGACCCTAGCAAAATATATATTACGACTGAATCATGCAGCTTATGAAAGCAATATGGCAACTGTTTACTATGCAGCAGACCGGCTAAATCTTACTAGCCTTATTTTTTGCCTGCACGAATAAAAATTGAATTGAACCTTAGTATAACCTGTGCTACGTTGTACTATAATTTGCTTATTGTTATGAATGATATTGTCCTTTGTGTTGTTACATTTCAAAACATCCCTTGATGTTAAGTCAATGTGATTTAAAACTTAGCACAATGAGAGTTACCAAAACAAATTTGAGTTGTACAGGACTGTAGAGTTATGTCATGCTTATATTTCATTCCATAAACATGAGTTCATGTATGTGCAGGTCACTAAATCTTATATGAACCTTTACTTATAAACTGACACAAAAATCAATTTCTAATAAATATTACATAGATACATTACCAACTAGAGCAGTAAATTATTTAGAGAAAATTCGTTTTTAGAATAATTTAAAGAAATTTGCTAAATCTAGTACTTTAGCTAATTATATATATATTGTATATGTACACAATAATAAACTATGTATGAATGTACTTTACAAAAAGCTCAAAATTTTTATATTACGTGTATTTGCGTGACTCGTGACTATAGCTAACCGTTTTTGATGTATTGTTATCGATTGCCGGTTAAAATACTTCCAAATTCATTTCTAGATTAATTTCAATTTTGTGCACAATAATATGATATGGAGCTCCCATCTAATCGAAAGACAGGCTACGGCAACCTGTTTTTAATGTCCGATAATCGACCGGCTAAAACAAACGTTTCAACTCGTATTTTGCTACAGTCACTATTGAGACACATTCATGGAATGCGGCAGGTGTCAAACCCTGTTCGTTTTCAGAACGTAAGACATTTGGAAGAAAACAAACGTGGTTCACCCCCGTACATAGATCAGCCTCTGTAGAAGCCTCTGTGTGCACGAAAACTTACTTGCACCACCAAAGTCCAATTAAGCCGTCCCGACGCGTAATCACGAATGCTGCTATCGCAAAACTAATAATCTGAGGCTCCGTTGTCAGATACAGAACTAGTTTTAGCATTAGTCTTAACATTATCTTTTTTCTCACAGACTTGTTGACAGAAACGTAGTAACGAGTCTCGAGTTTCTCGTACACAGCGGTACAGAGGTCCGGACCACGGGAAAAAGCTAACGTTAAGACGAACGTCAAGGCTAATTTCATTTCTAACCACGGCCCCACCAGAATTCCCGTATTTCACTATGCCCCCAGGGGTATTTACAGATTGCAAACTGCCTGCAACGTCTGCGAATTTCCAGCCCATACACCCTACGTGCCGACGTCAACAATACCGTGGGGGAGGGAATTGGCGGCGACCCTGCGACGTTACCGTGGCGACGCGCTGCCCTCGTAATCGTGCCGGCGAAGCGAACACTGGCGACCTCTCGGCGCGACCACGCTCTGCTTCCCCGGCGAAGCAGACGCTGGGGACCTCTCGGCGCGACCACGCTCTGCTTCCCCGGCGATGCAGGGGTCGGAGGTCAGAGGTCGCGGGGTCCGGGTCGGGGGGTCAGTAGTCCTCCACCCAGCCGTTCTCGGCGATGAAGATATCGAGCACTTCCTTCATGGCGAGGTTCGGAATGAGCTGCTGCTGCGTGAGGTCGGCCCGCGTCACGGGGTCAAAGTGGCCGACCCGCTGAAATGTCGTGGCGCCAGGGGTTAAAGTTGCAAAACCACGCCGCTAAATGCATAATAATATATACCTACTGTGAGCTTGCATATGTTGCAAAAATTCACTACAACTCATTTGTATTGCTACTTTCATAACATTTCCTCACAAAATCTAAACGAGACTACTTGTCTTGCGAAAGTAGCGCCACAGTGATGTTTACACGTCCGGGACACAGCCGAGCGATCGTTAACAGTTCTTTTCTATGATAAAACAAGTTATAATTCATTATTATATGTTTGTTCAGTACAGAATTGTGAAATTTGTTTAAATCACATGTTATCCACATTACTTATGCAAACAGGATACAAATATAGTGTTTTCTTTCCAGGAACTATTTGCTCTAGCATACCCCCTTCGCTCAACATAATTTATGCGCCGAATAACTGTCGGACGTTGTATCAAAATCCTCTAGTTCGGAGCACATTTCTGGCTCAATAAGAACATTTCGTGCTCACAGTAGGTGTATGTAGGATTTTTGTTGCGAGGTTACGAAATGGGGAATTATTATCCTCTAAAATTAATAAAATTATAAATAATTATATATATATATATATATATATGTATATAAATATATACACACAATATATATAATTACAAGAGCTAATAATAAATGTATTATCAGCTGTTGATTAATTATACACGATATTCGCCGACCTAAGCAAAAGCAGCAATACCCTATTAACACTGATTAACGTCAATCCCACATGTGGTCAGCAGGGAATCCTTACTAGCTTCCCAACGAAATATATATATATATTATTATTAGTAAATAATCAGTGTAGCCCTATCGTTCCCGCTAGGCGTTAGTAGATGCGGCTAGCGACAGGGCGTCATCCCTATGTTACGCATGCGCGATTAGGGTTAGGGGTTAGGGTTAGGGTTAGGGTTAGGGTTA